CTTCGAGGTGCGCGTGTCGCTCGGGGCAGCGGCCTTGTCTCTTTGTCCATGGCGGCGGCGTCACGAACGAGTCGTCGAGCCTTCTCACTTCGTACGCGGCGTATTGGGGCAACGACCTTTTCGACGCTGCGCCGTGCTGCTCGTCGCTTCAGTTTGCGCGCTTTGATACGACGACAGTGCCATGGACGTCGTCGGTTCTGCAGCACAAAGTGTGTGCAGCGATGCTGACGGTGGCCAATTTTACCACCGCGCGCAGCGTCGGTCGGCTCATCGTCATTACGCACTCGATGGGCGGCCTTGTGCTTGGCCTCGCCCTCGCCAACGGCGTCTGCTCGTTTAGCGCCGAGACGAAATGGGTCGCCCTGCACACGCCCATGGGTGACAGTCCCGTCTTGAATATGCTGCTCAAAGCGTGTGCGATTCCTAGCCTCTCGTCCGTGCTCGGGCTTTTGGGGCGGTGTCCGATCGCGCCGACGTTCGCGTACATGTACGAAGCTGGGAGCTGGGAAGCCACCGCGCTTGGCTTGAACAGCTACTACACACGAGCGCAAACCAGCTACAAGCGCCACGCGGACGCTGTGCTCTGCGGTCAAAGTCCCGTCGGTCTCTGGACATCGGCGTCCGGGATCATGACAGCGATCAATGCACTCGCGGCTCCGTCGACGCCCCACGACGGCCTTGTATGCGTAGAATTTGAAGAAACGATGGAGGCTCATGGTGTCTTGTAGGTCGCGTACGCTAGCTGCACCAGAGGGCTTGATGCGACCGCCTTTCGCGCCTCGTACGAGAGCAGGTTTTACGCCGCCGACATCAACCACCTCGATGGCAGCTTTCGCCACGGCGACGGCATGTGGGGCACGGCCCGTCAACCCCTGCGCTGGTTTAGCTGTCTCTACTAGCTCTAAAAACCTCTGAATTATTCTTCCAACTACTAAGAAGGACTCGAGTCGCCTTCCGTTGTCTTGCTGAGCCAAGAAGCGCACATGAGATAACCACGTTTGCCGTTGGAGGACCGCGTCTGGACGAACGAGAACTCATCCCGTCATGCGTCAGTGTTATACCAGTAAAAGTCCATGCCCGTGTTGTCGTCGGCATGCGATGTGTCAAGATGCAGATGGCACTTAGTCGACCACCTTTTGTCCAGTCGGTGGATTCCTGCTTCACATGCAGGAGGTGCGGGGTTCGAGCCCCGTAGGTGTTGTCCCTTTCTTCTCTTTCCCATTGGCGTTGGCATCGGAACCATCAAGTCACAGCTTGAAACGATGGATCATGTTCTGATCGTACAACCGACCAATCGGATTCGGTCCAGAGCACGCAGTCTTTCAGCAAGGGTCCACAACCGACAACAGAGCTTGAGAAAGGTTTGCTGCTCGCGGTTTGCGACCACGATCATGTTGATAGCCACAAGTTCTTATTGGGCTCGGCATCTTGCAACGAAAGAGCTCCGAAGCAGATATCAATTTGCTCAAAGCGGTTGCGATCTCCCAACACGTGTCGACCGAGGCTGCGGCGACGACCTTCTTGACGACGCGGAGAAGCTGCGCATCCTCGCGCGTCGCTTGGACATGGCAACATGCGCCGCATAACCTGTGCCCGAAACGACAAGTTTGGCCTTATCGCTTATACGACAGTATTTCTACACTCAATTTCCATCTCGTTCCAATGCGTCTATCATTCGCAATTTTTGACTTGACGATAGTCCGTTTTTACTCTGAATACCAATGCCATGACGCCTCCAGGTTAAGCCGCCAAGCCGCGGACTCGTCGCGTCACACAATCGAAAAAGCTCAGCGGCGCGCGGAGAAGGCGCCACAGGGCAGTGTGGAAGAGGCGCTGGCTACCAATGCGGCCTCGACGGTACGAGATAGCCGACCGCATGTAGAGAAGACCAATGTACAGCGCATGGCCCGTTGCAAACACGTAGAGACCAAGAAGCGAGTCGTCAAAGCCGAGGTACGTCGTCGCGAGGACTGTGGTGGCTTGGGCGCTCAGATACCAAACTAGAGTTGTGGCCGCAAGGCCATAGCTGCCAGACGCTTGCACGTACCGCTTGTAGACGCCCGAGTGCTTTGTGAGACTCGCGATAGCGTCCGTGAGCGTCGGTAGCAGTGGCGTTGGGTCGGGCGACACGAAATCTTGTCCTGTTGGCCCGGGCTCAATTGTCGTTGCTGCATCCTTGGTTGGCGTGTGTGACTGCAACAGGTCGTGGGTCGGTCCGTCGTCCGAGAGCACGGTCGTGATCGAGCCTTGCTCGACGACGATGTCTTGTTGCCGAGCACGAGTGATATACTTTACTATATCACTCGTGCTCGATGTGGCCACATCACAGTCGTTTGCAATAGTTTGCAAACAGTAAAAAACAGTAGAGAGCAGTATAAAACATCTGTGTCCAGCGTCCGTACGCCAAGCTTACTTTTTGTATACACGAACTTTACGGTCTTCAAGTTTCGAGAGACTGATTACGAGTCTTCGCACTTGCTCTTTGGACCGGCGATTGTGATGACGTTGGTACGACGACGTCGACGGTGCTGGATTCGAAATTTGAGGTGTAGGGTCCTCAGCTGCTTCATGCTGCGTTCTATGGTCGCATCGACGACGTCCAGCGCCTGCTTAAGAAAGGCGCCAACGTTAACTGGGCCGACGAGGTGCGTTGGCCACGCTCGATGCCAACGAGACTTATACAATTGTATAGGATGGAGCCACGCCGCTCTACGTTGCTGCACAGAACGGACACGGCATCGTTGTCGAGACGCTCCTCGGCGCCAACGCAGCTGTGAATCAAGCTGAAAACGTACGACGTTCTCACCCTCAGCTTATTGCTCCCTGAAATACGTCTCGACAAGTGTCGTCATTGATGAAGGATGGAGCAACGCCGCTGTATATTGCTGCACAGAACGGACACG